TATATATATATATATATATATATTCACTACATTATCACATATGACGGGAGGCGAGTTCGGAGCTTAGAGATCGTCCCACGCTGATACCTGGTTGAGGAAACTCCCCGCAAGCCGACTGAGGTCGGTGCCGGATTTCGCCATCTAGCGGGGGAACACCACCGCCCCCTCTCGTATGATAAAACACACACTACACTTACGGGACTATTGACCTTAGCCTGTGACGCGCCCGGAATCACTAATAAATGCAATCATTCTATTTTGTACTCTCTACACTTCGTAGATGAGTAGAGTTCGCTGAAGATTAAGGTGATTTGCTTTACAACCTGCGGAAATTATATGAAGAGTACTTGGAATGGGGATTAGAAAGAAACCTTAACAAGACAGAGTATATGGTTGTACGAGGATTTGCTAAAGGTCTAAAACTGGGTGATTGTTCGGAAGTAAAACTCCAAAATTTCACGTTGCCTACCTACGTACAAAACTAAATGCAAATGGTGGCAGTACACTAGATATTAAAAACTGAATTGCAAGGTGAGGTGGCTAAAAGATGATTACATTGTTTGATGTGGAAAGATAAAATAAGTAAAATTGTTAAGAGAAAATTATATAAGACTAACCGAAGAGAATATTGCACTTAATGGGTCTGAGGTATGTGAAGGAACAAAAACGAGCAAGACATTGACAGAAATATACTTGTGGTTTCGAAGTAACGGACTGACTTGTTAGATAAAATTAAGGACGAAAAAATGAAACATAGAGTGGAAGTAAGTTTTAATATAATTGGCATCATAGAAGTGAAAAGACAACAATGGTATGGACACATGCAAAGAACGAACAAAGAACGTTAACCGAAAATATTGTGTAAATGGCAACCAGCTATCCACCGAAAAAGAGAAAGACTTCCTCTTACGTAGGCAGAAGGAGTAGAAGAGGCAATGGTGAAAAGAGGATTGAAGAATGAAAACTACACGATGGAGAGAATTTGATGCTGGGATACGAAAAACACCCTAGGGTGTATTATTACTCTCCATTCTACTGTCGCTACAACAAGAAAACGTGTTTCATTGATGTCTCCGTATTGTGCCTTATGACTTGTTTGTTATATCAAACGGTTTCGCATACAGGCCATTCCTTTGCGATAATAATTTGCGAACGGTGTTTGTAAGCGTTCGCGCCGTCGTAATCCTTTTCTTGTATCGTTGTTTTATACAACCTGCCTAATATGTACTATATTATGTTATATAACAATATAGTTTTCATTGAATTTCAGTGGCAAACGTATACCTCAATTTTTTTAAAGAAGTGCATCCTGTATTTTTTCTTCTAAATATGAAAAATAAAACCGACATTCTTCGAGGGCGCCTTCTAAAATTCTCTTTCTCCATTGAGTATTTCGTAGAATACAAGACATATTTCCTGGCAAGAGCCTTCAGCATCGTCACTCATTCGGCCACTGTGTCTCGACAACCGCAAACGAAAGCTCAGCCCTGAGGTCGTAGCCGCAAACTTCCAAGACACTACTACAAGGAAAGCTTCCCCATTCATCACGGAGCGCGGGCCGCGACGCGAGGGGAAGAGTCGCAGATGGTAGGTTGCGTAAGGCGCGTTGCGTCACGCCACGGGGCCAGGTGTTGAACCCGGCACCCTAGCGGCGTGAGGCAACGCCAGGGGCAGGCCGCCCCCCCCCCTCCTGCAGAGAGCAGCACCGGCGCCGCCCTTCTGTGCGAACGGTTCTCGCCTTCTCGCAGGAGTTAACTTTGCACTCGTGAAGCTTCGTTAAGTCAGGGCCTTGTTCTTACGATGACGTCGTCTTCTTCTTCGTCTTCGTCTTCTTGTTCGCCTTCGCCTTCGTCTTTGTCTTTGTCTTTGTCTTCGCTTCCGCGTCCGCGTCCGCTTCCACCTCCGCCTCCGCCTCCGCCTCCGCCTCCGCCTCCGCCTCCGCCTCCGCCTCCACTTCCACCTCCTCCGCCTCCGCCTCCGCCTCCGCCTCCACCTCCTCCGCCTCTGCCGCCGCCTTCGCCGCCACCTCCGCCTTCGCCTTCGCCTCCGCCTACTCCTTCGTCTTCGTCTTCTGTCCTTCCTCTATTCTCTTTCTCTAGTTCTCTTCCTTGTCCATATTCTCCTTCTTTTATTCCACCTGATCTATGTTCTTCTCCTCCATCTTCTTCTTCTGCATCTCCTCTTGCTTATTTTTTTAATATGCTTCTTAATGACGAATTCCCAGCGCGCTGTGTCCGAGAAAGTTCAGAGAACTGACTCTCTTACTGTTTTTCTTTTTTTATGAAATTCATTTGGCCTCTTGAAAATTCGGAGTAATCACAGAGCATGAGTTTTAAATGAATATTTTCTCTTGAAAAAGAATGCGACATAATAATCTTAAAAAAATTTTCCCATTACGTTTAATTATTATATGAGCCATACTTCTAGTGCGAATACGTAACAAAACTGGAAACGCATATACATTGCAATTTCTTATTCAATAAAACTCGTGTACTATTGAAATATGATTGATGTTTCCAGACACGGCTACTGCTATGGTTAGTCCGTCAGTGTAGTGTTTGTTGGGATTAGAGGTGCCGGTGATCCTCACCCACTAAAGGGTGAGATTCGGCGCCAACCTACATGGGGATTTTCTCTCAAGGTATCTCCCCTAGCGGAGTACCGCCCTAGCCGGGACAGCTCTAATCTCCTGAGTGGTCTCCGACATTAGCGGAAGTGTAGAAAGTGTGTGTGTGTGTGTGTGTGTGTGTGTATGTGTTCGCGCGTATGGACGGAAGATCGCGGGAGACGAAAGGCGAAGAAGAGGAAGGAAGGATCGTGCACGGTCTATGACCCGTTTTGGGCGGTACTGCTGAATTCCTCGGATATAGATCGAGGAAACACCAGGAAACTACCGTCCGCCACAGTTCTCAAGACAACCGGCCGCTATATTATCCTATAAACAACATCTGAACTCCATCTAGCTATACTGCGAAAATTGTTTCACCGTCAGCTATCGTTAGAACCACTGCAGGGTCCGTAGCAATGCAGGCTGTGACCTAAAGTCATCCGGTAATAATATTAAAATATAATTGTATACGTTGTAGCCGTTTTGGGACGTATTGAGTGAAGAATATGAGAAATGCCCTCATTACAATTCTTATTCGCGTCGTCTTCCAAAATACATGCCACACAAACCTCTCATCAACGGCATTTTATTGTAAGACATTATAATTTAAAATAATTATTTAAGGTGATTTTATCCCTATTTCAATTACTCTTCTCCAATTAGGCATCTTTATGACGCGAATCACAGATGGAAATTAGTATGGAAGATTTAAAGTTTAATATGGAAGCGAGGTTTTTAATTTTCCTTCAACTTATTTTATAAGCTTCAAAATTTAACTAAATCTCAAATCAAAGCACTTTTTTATTATTTTCTTCAAAGTTACCCTATTTGCTTTTGATTTAACGTTTTAAATATTAATTGATGATTCGTATATGTGCGTTCCCTTTTGTTGATTTATTTGCAATAATAGTATTTACAATAATTCGTAGACCTGGATGGCCGAGGTGGGTAGATCGTGTGCCCAGCCCCTTGGTCTAAAGGAACGCGGGTTCGAGTCCCGCCTTAAGCAGGTTGCTTGTCGCTTGTCTTTCACGTGTGTGTGTTGTTCCGGAAGGCCTCGTGATTCTGCTGGCCACAGGCCGAGGAGCCCGCAAATTTGCTAGTGTAAAGGTTAATGTGACCCCATGAGGAACATAGTGGATACCCGGCGCAGATAGATGAAATCGGCATCGGCAGAAAAATACTCAGGAAGGAAAACAAAAATATTCACAATAAATTAAACATGAATTATTCTGCCATCAATCGCAGAATAAATAAGCAACATATATTTTCAAATTTTTGTTAAAAATATGGTAACATAAAGATCACAAAAAACTAACATGAACAGCTACATATATTAAACTTCAATATATTTCTATCTTGAAAATAGACATTAGATCTAAACTGATGCTCGTTGCAAAAAAACATTACTCTAAACTCATGTGACACCACAACCCTCATAAAAACATAATTTTATCAGGAAGTGTTTATAACGTTCACTCAAGGAAATAATTGTAAAGTGGTGGTAACTAATGTGTAATTATAGAAATGAAAGCCATTAAAAAACCTCGTACATCTTAGCACTTTTTAGTGTATCTCAAATCAGATTGAACCCAGCAATGCTCTTCCAGGATTAAATCTGCTATCATATGACGTTGGTGAAAACTAACGTTTTGAAAACTAGTGGTGTTAAACCAGCACTACTCGTATTGATTCCAACATTTGCAATTTTCGAAATTTTAAAAATTTAACGAAAATACCCCCATCCCACCCACCTTCCTACCCGCCATCCCGTCAGTCATCCCTACTGCCATCCCGCCATCCTTCCCGTCCGCCGACCCACCAGCTATCCCTAGACTGTTTCATTTTTAAGCATCCTTTGCTCCATCCGTGGAACAAATTAAAAGAAAAACAGGAAGCCGATTTTAGAAAAAATGCAATAACTTCAAGCAGAAATTACGCGAAAACTACAGTTTTTTTTACAAAAAATCGTTACATGACTTTTTTTAAAATCTATTTTTAAACTAGAGGTGCTACATCACATACTTCCACGCGTGATTGAAATACTTACGTAACATTAAAAATATTGCAATGTCTGCCATACTAAAAACTGTTATAACCTGAAAAAGTCTAATTGAAATGAATTGCCTCTCGTGCTTATCTGCATTTACTTCAATTGTGAGGAAGAGTAGTCATTCCTTACTTTTAGAAGTGAAACGAACATGAATAAATTTAAATGTTACAGTATTTACAGAACACAATACAGGAAAACACTAATAATTTCACACAAGCCTACCTTGATTATACTTGATTTTAATTTTTTCTTTACAGTATATGTATGTATATACGGACTAGTATACGTTCTATAGGGAAAGTTATGTAATTCTGCGGAAAATCTGTATGGAGAATTCAACGGAAATAAACGTTTTGGGGTCTCCTGAAAGTGTTGTTGTTTTTTCAAAATGACCGTTTGTTCATTTGATGTCTGTGAACACCACTAGCGCCTAAACGATGCGTAGGAATTTATCCATATTGAAGAAACCCCTGTCAATCTGGCTCGAGTCAAACCTTAGAGATTTTGAAATACATTCTTCAAAATTTTGGGATAATTTACTTAAAGCCCTCCGGACATTTTCAAAATTTTCTCAAAAATGGCTTCAATATTTTCTTTCAATATTTCGTAAGAAGTGAGAAAATACACACAAAGGTGGTATAAGCATAGGTTAACTCTGTATTTTCGAAAATTTCAAATTTTCAAAATTTTGGGGGCGTCTTCCTATAACTACAAAATAGAAGATAGAGATTTTTCTTTCAAATAAAATGTGTTCACCATAGCGCGTTCTTTCATTTAGGTCGTGCACATTTTTTTTAACTTTTCGTAGTTTTGGCGCAAAATTGCGAGCAATATGTGCAATTTCAAAAATACAAAAACAATATTTTCTCAAAAACGGCTCCAAATTTTATCTTTAACCTTTTTTTAAGGATAGTGAAAAATGCACCCTATAAGATGGCACAAACGCCATATTGCTCTATTCTTTTGTTTGTTTTTTTTTTCAAAAATTACAAAAATGTTATTTGTGTGACTTGTATCACACGTCGTTAATATTTACAGTTGCGGCAATTTGTTCTCATTACTGTATTTGTGAGTAAATCTGCTTTAAATAATGTCATATATGGTTTATAGAAAACTCAACAGTTTGCTGTGACAACTAGCTGAAAACTCCCCAATTTCAGAGACACCGAAAAAGTTTGATTTTTGGCAATTTTCGAAAAATCAGAGTTTTTAACGAATATGGAACAGGTACCGTTCTCTCAATCGTCCTTCACGCTATCCAACAAAATGTAATAAAAAACCATAGAGCCATCTTTTTGAAATTTTATGACAATATCCCAGGGGCTTCATGTAATGTACCCCCCAAAATTAAAATATCTGTTTCAAATTCAAGGGGCAAAATCAATTTTGAAGAAAAATTCCCGAACGTATTAACCGTTACCGTTGTTCAGACGAACTGACAGACTGATGAACGGACAGACGGACAAACATTTTACCATCATTTGATGTTTCGGTATCAAGGATCCACAGAACATGGATTCTTGCTACATCACGTGTTAGAGGATTTTTGTTTCTAAATTCTGCAACAGGATTTATCCCCTTTTTCGGTAACAGAGACCTGCGATAAGAGTTTTTGTGCCGATAATTCGCAGTTTGTTCCCCGCAGCATTACATTTCTTAAGTAGTACCTTCTGAAAGACGAGAAAGTAAAAATCCCTATAATCAATAGTGGAGTGGAGATTTGAGATTCTTTTGGAGTGATGGTTGTTTGCAATTTTCAGAAACACAGTGAGTTTGCCGGAAATGGATCCAATACATAGTTCTTTGCTACATACGAGGGAAAAAATTGAGACAAATTTTGGCGCTGTTGTTTAGAAAATAATGATTTAAACAATGGCTATATTTTATACGGAACTACGCATACTATTCAAAAACTTCTCTCGTATTGAAAAAAATGCTTTTCTTTGTTTTTGGATGAAACGAAGCGTTTCCTTCGTTGCATCCCAAAAGTTACCGTATTAACTCTTTTTGACGATTTTTTTCATTCATTTTATATTGTGGATGGATTTACAAATTTCGGTTAAGATTCAACTGTACATTTGCAGTTACAAGTTTACAATCTAACTTAAACCAATTCACAGGAACAAAATTACATTTGACGAGAGAACACACAGAGCACCTCAATTGTTTGTTGCTTTTGTTTTTACTTATTCAAAATTAAATCCAACAGGCATGCCCAATTACAGAATTACAAACACATAACCAATGTTAAGCGTTTACATACTGACACGAATTACGCTACAAAGACTCCGTAGTCACAAATAAATCAAATAAACAAATACGATAAACAAATCAATCGAAAGCACAGTGCGAATAACAAAATCATTGACTTTATCAAAAATTTCAAATAGTCTACGATTATATTCATATCTGTTGTGAGAAATTGGAATATAGATTGGACGAAAATTGCGTACATTATGTTGATGAATAGAGAGTGAGGCACTCGACAACAGACCTGGTGAATCAATCATACTGCAAATTAATTTAATGAAATATATTATCATCGGTAGCTTTCTTCGACCAACCAGACTGTCTAGATGGAAGTCACGATATATCCCACTCAATATTCCACTTACAGAATAGGCACCAGTTAACTTGTGACATAAATATTTAGCGAATATTCGTTAACAAGACTCAACGGCCTTTGACAAGTTAGCAGTGTCAGGAGAACATGTCATCCAAGAATATTTTAGTTTATTCCTAACCAATGAATAAAATTATATATTGAGCATTTTATGGGATTTTATATTATGACCCAGTCTCAGAAGGTATCCGAGTGATTTATTAACACAAGTAATAATTTCCTTATTATGAAATTTAAAGGGTAACTGCCTATTAAATGTGACTCCAATGTCCTTAAAGTAATCCACTTATTGCAAATCTGTATAATTTAATGTATAATTTAAATTGATTTTATGTTTCCTATAGTATAAGACCTTAGATTTACCAGGGTTACACACTAATTTGTTCCCTTGACACCCGCTAAAAAATTCATCAAGATTTCTATATAAAATCAAACTAACATTAATACTTTTAATGTTGAGGAATAATTTTATATCATCCGCATATGAAAGCAGAAAAACACGTCAAATTATCTCGAACACCATTAATGGTTATTGCAAAAACCAAAGGTCTCAGGTTAAACACCTGGGACACCCCAGACCTAGATCTGTAGGGCCATGATTGATACCCAGCATGACAAACAACATTGGATCTTTGAGTGAAATAAGACTGTAGCAAATTTTAAATAATTAGATCGTAGATAAAATCTACTCACTTTATCAATAATGATATCATGGCTCAAAGTATCAAATGCGTGGGAAAGGTCAGTAACCATTACATCTCCTTGAGAGTGAACTTCAAGACTTTGTACCAAATGTTAGGAGATTATAAACCGACGATCTGTCTTTGACGAAACCATACTGAAAATCGATTATTATAGGTTTAAGCGCGTTGTAAAATATGTCATAAACATAATTTTCCAGTATCTTCCAGAAATTGGATAGCAAGGAAATATGGCATTGCCATTGGATAGCAAGGAAGCATGCTTTATTCTAGGTTGCAAATTTTTTCAAGAAATAAACTGCATTATTATTTGTAATCTACGAAATAAAATTGTTATTTTTTCTAATTGGGTTGGGTGGCGAGTAAGGGAATATGGTTTGAATGTGAATATTTTTTTCGAAATTTGTAGGATTTATTTTAATCTTCCATTTTGAAGACCAACTCCCTGAAGACCAATTTTCTCTGCATGAAGGTACTTAGATTTCGTTTGCTACGAAGTTTAATGATGAATGACACACAGATTGCTATGTTGTGGACGTTAAAAGTGCACCAGTAATTTTATGATTTTGAAGGCAACAATAGTCATTCATTATTTTAACATTGCTAAATGAGTCATGGATTCATATATTCAATGTGGAAAGAAAAGTCGATCGAAGATGTTTGTTGAGGTAAAGTCGTTTTCATTGTGAGGAATTCTGTATTTAGACTACTACATGAAGTAGATTAAAATTTACTCACTTGCTACTAGTTATTTTTACACTACGTAGAAAATAGTACATATACTTGGAAAAGGAGAGACGGCAATATTTTACTGCAAGTTACTTCTGGTGTCAACGTCAGAGGTGAAGTGTGTTGGCAACGTCGGCCTTTAACCCGCAAACAAAGGCAGGAGGTAAGGTCGGTTAGCCAGACGGCAGCGACGGCGGCGCAGGAGAAGCAGGCGGCCACGGCGGCGCTGGGACGACGATTGTGAAGGACCGCAATGGAATAGCACGAGGCGGAGGCACATTGGAACGACGACGGCAGAAGAAATAACGGGGGAGACGAGGGAATGGAAATTGCGGTAGCCGGGTGGTGGTGGCGATAGCAGAGGCGGTGGTGGCAGGGAATTGTCGGGCGGCAGCGGCGGGGGGCGGCGGTGGAGTGGACTGCGGCAGCGGAGGCGGCGGTGTCGGTGGGGGTGGCTGTGGGGGCGGCGGCGCCAGCTGAGGCGGCGGAAGGAGCAGCGGTAGCGGAGGCGACGATGGCAGGAGAGGCTCTGGCGGTAGTAGCGAGGGTCGCGGTGGGGTAGACAGCTGCAGCGGAGGGAGTCGCAGGAACGGGTAACGGCGATGGTGATGGCGGCGGCAGCGACGGTGGCGGCAATGGCGGTGGCGACGGCGGCGGCGGTGGTGGCGATGGTGGTGGCAGCGGTGGTCGAACCCATTGCACCTCGCGCGTACGCTCTAACAAGGCGCCGTCGTGAGCAAGGTCTCCCGCCGAGAGAATGCGCAGTTCTTTTCTTCTTTTTTATGAAGCAGTGGGTGTTTTTATGAGCGGACGTAATTCTCCGTCACGGATAGCCCTCTGAACAGAATTAAGATTTTAATTAACACGGAGCCTTGAGAATTAAAGAGGAGTTGTGTCATTCACAAAAGACGATCATGGATGGTCGATATCTGAATGTTCGTTCAGTGTAAGGTATTTTTATGTAAATTAGTATTTTTTGTTCTCGTTTTCGATCAATCAGCAGTTGGCTTTTACTGAATATCCAATTTTCAAATTCCGTTTTCCTGAAAGGGTGATCCACCGAATATAGGAAAGAACAGTTAAATGTTGATAACCAAATTGTAATATAAAATACGTTTGCAGAAAAGTAAACAAATTTCTGAATAACTATTAACACTTATAAATGAATTTTATCTCAATAGAGCTGAAAATCTTTCTATGAGTATTTCTTTATTTTCAAGAATCCGATAATCATTTAGGAAATGCTATTTAATAATTGACTGCATACGTTTGCTTTCTGTTCATATTCTGAACTTATTAGCATTTTTACACTGTATATTTTTACTTCTCTTTGCTAGTGAGTTTGTTCACGTACCTACAGTCGTCTTTCAAGTGAGACTGTTTAATCTTGAGGAAAATATACCATCAGCACTCTGGGCGTATAATGCAGCAACAACATTTCAGGAAAGTAAATTTGAGAAATGTGGGCAAAAATGTATCTAAAACTCGTTACTCGCATCATTGGCGTAATACTCATTCAATTGTTGACAATGTAATGAGGTTAATAGCGGGAAAAAGTTCGGTCTATCTCCGGATTTACTTCTTAAAATGTTTTGTACCGTTTACTTTGTAATTTCCTGTCAATGACCCTCCTTTCACTACTCTCTGCAAGTAATCACAACAGGGATACTAACAATTTCAGTCTTTCCAGTTTATGCGTTGTCCTTGGCCAAAATAGTTTCAATTTTATGGTAACTTAACTACAAATTCAAGGCATAACTTTTACTACCATCGTTAACGGTTCCTGTTGTTTTTATGCTGTGTCATTCTAGCTGCTTGTGCTGAGTACCTGTTATGAGTTGATTGTAATACTGTGTTGTTATTGAAAATATAGTAATAAACACGAATCATTGTAATGGATTCTTGAATATATAATGCTTTTACAATTATCATTTCTGTAAAAAATGAAATTTTTAACATACATAATTATAAATGTGTTCAATTATAAACACCCCCCCGCATATATATTACAATTAATATATATTACAATTTTGGGTTTATTGCGATACCTACATACACGTACCTTTGATTGCATTTTTTCTAATGCATTTTTGAAAACGTAGGTTTCAGTACTAACACGCCGTAATTGTAACTCTCAATGATGTAAAGAGCTACCTTATTTCGTTGCCTCATTAAACGTTCCGCAACTCATTACTATCACAGGTTTTAGGTCCAAGTGCAACAGATGCCCGACTCAAAAATTCAAAAGTATACAATATTCATAGTATATTTTCCATTTTACATACGCAATTATCTATTAACGCAATTATCCGGGAACGATTATCCAATTCCCACTATCTGGTTTGAAGCCGTTTTGTTAAAAGTGCTTTGCAAAGAGCTGACTGAAATATTCAGGGTACCTGAATGTCCGTACATAATATACTTCAATTCTACATATAATTTAATATACAATTCAATTCCATACAATTTTAGGAAACCGTCAACATTAAGACAAGAAGGTCTGAGTCAACGCAAGACCGAGAAAGAGGCGAAATGCCGTGAGATATTCCATTGAATATCATGAAGACTGGCCCTCACGCGCCAAGAGATAAAATCCCAAGTATAATGGGCGTTATATATTCGTGGCTGAAACGCTCAGCTGATAAGCTCTACCCCCTTCATATATTTATTCGAAGTTAGGGTCAATAGAAGAACATTACGTCATTGGAAATTATATTGGTGTGGCGTGTCAGTAGGAATCCACTGTCGGCGTCATTACGTAACTCTCAAATGCCAAGCACAAAGAAATTAGGTACTACGTACGTATTTTAATGCCATATTAATATCCGCACTTCACTCTATTTGGATAAAAGATTAAATACATTTGGAGAATTTTTTGAAAAATGTTGAAATGTTCTAATGGTTATAAAAAACACACTCAAGAAGTTTGTTCCGTTGGAAAAAATCTATTGGCAAATTCAGTAAAATCACATGTGAAATGATTCACCTTGAAATAAGGTACGCGGTAGTTCTATAGTTTGACATTAAGTGTTGGCTAAAATTAGAGTCTAGAAAACAGACGCAATTTTCTGAAACCCTAGGTAGTTGTGTGTTCAAAGTATATGGATTAATTTTATTATCCCACATACTTTACAAAACCAACTTATTCTATACTGAAGAACCTATAATTATCTCTAAATTTCGCAGTATAGTGGGTTTGTGAGCAGACGTTGAGAACAAATTTTCTTGCTCAATTATTTTCCGCCCGGCAAGACGCACTAACATTTCGGTGAATGGAAAAGGACTCGTCCGTAGAAGCGAAAAGGGTTTCGGGGGCCGCGTTGCTTTCATGAGAGGCACACTCCGTGGCGGAGGAGCGCCGGCGCGGCGCGGTGCGGTGCGGAGCCGCAGCGTGGAGAGCTGCGCGGTGGCGCCGTCACGGTGTACGTAACCTGCCGCAATTTGCGGCGCTCGCCACAAGCAGCGGGAGAAGTTAGAGAGAATATTTGCGTATTATATTGAAGAAAATAAATGGGATCTAAAGGTTGTCTCTCTAACTTTCACCTTATGATCCACACACTTGGGAGGCCGGCCGGATCGTGTGGGCGGCCAGGTCGAGCCACGTTGGTCGAGAGAAGGTGGGCTTGCCACCGAGTTGTGGGTATATGAATGGTAGCGGGGGCAATGTATGGAGGGGAAGAATGGCCGTCGGCCACAAAGCCCAGGGCGCCGAAGGCCGTCCGGAAAGATGCTTGGCGACAACACGAGAGCGTGAGGTTGGTTCCGACGGTTGGCCGAGCATTGAGTTCGGGTCGCATTTCCATATCAATGTATTCGACTGGTGTGACAGATGTAACAAAAAGTGGTCGAGATGAGGCAAGAGAGTGTGGTGGTGCTAGGAGCGTAGTAGGTGATCGGTGTGACGCCACCGCTGAGCGGTTGTTACTAGTGATGGCTCAACGGTGCGGGACGCCCTGTGAATTAAACGGTTGGTTGTCGAACGGTTGCGAGAAAGTGGGCCAGAGGACGTTGGTGTGTTGTAAAGAAGAGCCTGTGTTGGCGCGACAGGTTTGCTGACAGATTGTCTATGGGCTTCTTGGTGTGCCAGATTGTGGAGGGTCACAAAGAATTAGATGGCGGAGGATCTGGAAACGGGTTTAGGTGATGGGGAGATTAGGGATGGGCTTAGCTGGGAAAGTGTACGAACATACAACATAGGTGTGCGCATACGACTATGGAAGTACGGGAGAGAGGGAGTGCGGGAAGAACCGAAAGTAGGGTGACAAAAGCAGGGAGTTGTGTGATGGGTGGAATAGGAGTGGTGGACTATGATGCTGTAGATGTTAGTGTCGATGACACAGGACTTATGGAGACGTGTGTTGTGGTAGAGTGGACACTGAGACACGTGTGGTTGGTGGGTAGGTCTGGGTAGGCGACCACATGTCAGGGTGATGGACGCTTGCACCTGTAGGGAATCAGGAAAGAGGTGCGGGGACGGGACGGGGTACAAGGTGGTGGGTGAGTCTGGGTGGCGCACTCGTGAACGAGGGGCGGTTTCATAACAGCAGGGACGGGACGGGGGCGGGAAGTCGTGTGGACTTGTGTGTGATTGGTTGTGAGTAAAGGTTGGTACTGAGCCGAAGGCAGCTAGCTGAGTGGGGGCGTATGAAGTGCAGGGACACAGGTTGAACTGCGAGAGTGCGCGCGAAGCGAGAGAGAGATACTTGATTGACGGATACGGAGGTTGGTATAACTGGTCAGAAGCTTGCGGGGAAACTACGATATGATGCTAAGGAGAAAGCGGGTATCTGAGGGGGCTGGAGCAGTAGAGAACGGTGGTGGGGTGAGCTACGGAGATGGTTGGCTAAGCAATGGGTATAAAGCATAGTCATGCTACCGTGTATATAGTGATTATGATGAGGGCGATGGGGCAAGGGGACGTGGGAATCCCGGTTGGAGTGCGCGAGAAATTTTTTGATTGAATCGTGTGGATGGACGCTCTGGTAGGTAGCCAGTAGCGCGTGGTAGGCAGATTTTCGCAGGCATACGGTTTGTTTTGTTATTACCTTCCGACATATTTTAGGGCTAAGGATAATGACGTGATGTGCTTGGGGGGCTGGTGGACCCGCGGTATACCGATTCTGGAAGGTATTGGTTGTGTGTGGACCTTTCCTGGAGAGGGATGAGCTTCTGCCTTGAAGACTATGCTGGGGTTGTTGTATGCAGGGAATCAGCCGACTATACCTCCAATGCCATATTTTT